TCTTTTGCCTCCTGGTAGATCTTTTTGCGAGATTCCTCGGAAAGATCTTTTACGACTGTTTTTTTATTGCCAGACTTTAACTCCGCGTATTTCTTTTCCTCCGCGAGGATCAAAGAAAACTCCACGTCGTTGATTTTGCGGTCCCGCAAAGCCTGAGACACTAAGTCGGCGATGGTGTTAGCCTTTGCTTTTGCTAGGGCTATATGAGTGTCGTGCTTAGATATCTTACCGGACAATTGCTTCATGATGCCTGTCGTAACAGCGGAAACAATGCCGCAGATGGCTCCAACGCTGGCCAAAGGAACGCCAACGACTATTCCAGGTCCGGTGAGTGAGGTAGCAACGCCAGTSCCTGTTAACGCCACGGACATGGAGCCGGAAGTTATTGCGATTTTATGTAGTATGCTTCGGGCCCTAGCATACTTTTTCCTGACCTCCTCATAGTGTTTCGTTTGCCCTTCCAAGTAAGCCAGGATTAAATTTGCTTTATTGAGCCTGAAGTTTTCAGCGCTTAATTCGTTAGGTTCCTTAGGAAGTTCAGGATAAAGTGGAGGTGCTGATGGTATAACATCCATTATATACTAATGTACGACGCTTTTGGGAATAACATAGAGGAGCAGCCACATCACGACAACCGGGATTACTGGAACTGGAGAGCATTTAGGAAGATGTTTCCGCATGCAGACCCTAGTAAGTTCGAAAGAAGACCCGACGGTATTTATTACCAAGGCTCCAGAATGTACAGCAATTAGAAGAGTGTATCGTTTGTCACTGCCTCGACAACCATGTTTCGACTACCTTTTTTTGCGTTCCAAAAGATACCAATCCGTGTTCCAAAAGAGTGTATGCGTGTTCCAAAAGAGTGTATGCGTGTTCCCAAAAGAGTGTATGCGTGTTCCAAAAGATACCAATCCGTGTTCCAAAAGATGTGCAGCCGTGTCCCAAAAGATGTGCAGCCGTGTTCCAAAAGATACCAATCCGTGTTCCAAAAGATACCAATCCGTGTTCCAAAAGATACCAATCCGTGTTCCAAAAGAGTGTATGCGTGTTCCCAAAAGAGTGTATGCGTGTTCCAAAAGATACCAATCCGTGTCCCCAAAAGAGTGTATGCGTGTTCCAAAAAGATGTGCGTTGGTTTGCGCAAAGAGTTTTGGATCTCTACTTATTTTTATT